CCCCCGAGCTGGAGGCAGCACTGCAGGGGGGTCTCCCCAGAGCAGAGCGCAGCAGAGGGGCACAGTCCCCCCTCGCCCTGCTGGCCACGCTGCTGGGGATGCAGCCCGGGATGCCGGGGGTCGCTGGGCTGCCAGCGCTCAGAAAGCTATGAGGTAGCCTATTTGCCTCCTCAACCTCTGCCTCTGAGACTTCTAAATAATACTTTAAGATGATAGAGTTCTTACCTTTTGAGTTGATTTTCAGCAAATAGGAGCGCTCCAGAGTCTTTAAAAAGCGAGAATGCATTTTAGCAGACATGCAGATTTCAGTTTAAAAAAATCCCAACAAACTATTAACTCTGAAATCAAACACCTTCATGCTCCTTATCCCAGATTTCAACAGAAGCGCCAACCCTGCACTCCACTCCTCCTCTTGTTAATGGCATAGGATATCAGGTAACTAATAACTAAAAAAACCCAGAAGTCCATCATAAGATTCCAACACTGAGGACTCTATGCTTTGGATTATGGAGTGGTGGTGGAGCATGCAGCCGCAACGTTCAACTCTACCTCCCAACCCACAGCGAACTAAGGCAATGGAATGCTTATTCTCCACAACCCTCCTTAAAGTATTGTTAAAAGTATTGTTATAATGCTTTCCAGACAACCTGTATCACAATCTGCAATGCTGGGTGTTGAACACACAAAATGACAAACATGGTAAGCCTCCAACTAGAGCAGATGCCTTTTAAGCTCGTGCCTAATGGATTACAGCAGTAATTACAGGAGGGGATGTCCGGAATTCCATAGCTATATACATATAGAAACACAAAACCCCCTTCAAGGTCGCCTCTTTCGATCCTTGTCTATGCTGTTTCTGCAGCTGCTCTGCTCTTTACACACTCCAGTTGTTTCCTCATTACAAACTACTTCCCCCAGACCAGAAGACTCCACATCAGGTGTGTTGATGGAAACTCTAGGCAAAGACTCCCCCAGTTCTTAAAGATAGTCACAAGAAATATCAGAAATACCCAGTGCTAGGGAAAAGCTAAATGCTCTCCAGCTAACTCTCTGGAGAACCCCCTGCATCATGCTCTACAACAATTCAGCAAAGAACAACATGTTACGAGGGGAGCAGGAGGAGCAGATGGTGGGGGCACAGTAGACTGGACTGGTTGTGGGGGAGATGTTCCAGCAGCATGGAAGACGACAAAAGCGTGGGACGACACACTGAGAACAACTGTTACACAAAACAATGGGGAAAACCCAAAATCCCTTTTTTGGCTTATTAAGAATCAGATTATTTGCTTGAGGAATGGCATGAGCTGGGAAGCTTTCAACAACATTCCGTGCTATCTGCTGCAAAACAGTTAAAGCCCAACAGTTAAAATATTATAGCAGCCAAGGGTACGCAACAAAGCCAAGAAGAAAGTACATGATTCATCCTGTTAGAGAACTGCTTTGTGCAGGTACTCTTCGTTTTCACAAACCCGCTAATGTCCCACCTACTCCAGTGCCCTCCTTGCCCAAATCTAGATGATTCTGCAAGTATTCCCATCCTTCCCAAAAGACTCAGCTCCAGAACAGTATCGAAACAGCAGTCTTCATTATCATGAGTAATGTGCTTTTTACCTTAAAACCAAAATAGTTGTAGGAGAAGTCTCTGTCATAGATAATGGCAGAATTCAGGCGCTGAAAGGAAATAATACAGAGAAAAATTTACATTTACAATCACGTTTTTTGTGCCTCACATTAAGGTATAACAACGCTATCATTGTTTGGCATTTCTGGCCTCAAAGGTCTAGTGAAACAGATATCAGATCAGAGGGAACAAAGTAGGGAAGAGCACTTAGCTTGAAACAACAAATGCACAGTTTTAACAATTTTTTTCCAAGTACAATGCACAATTGTTGGCTATGTTTTACTGAAGTCTAACTAGACACCAAGAAACACAAGATAAAATCAAAATACGAACATGACTTCCCCCTAAGAACACAGAGCTGGAACAACGTGAAATCGGAACCCAAACCTCAACTCTCCCTTCTCTGCACACAAAACAGATTGCTGCATCAAAAGGTACTTTTTCTCAAACTAATTAGTCGTGCTGATCATGCTTATGAGGACACCCAAGAAAACAGATTCTACTACAGAAACATCTTTATATGAAAGAAATTCCTACATCGCCTCTTTTAAACTCTCCAGAACAGAGCAGTTATCACCTGCACTGGTTTCTGCATTGTCTTTTTGTCTTAAAACAGCTATGGCTTACTTAAAAATAAGAAGGAAGTTATCTAAACTAGTTCACTCAATTTTTAAAACTTAGAAGTGGAAAAAAAAGTTACATACATCTTTGTTGGCCAAAACTATATCTAGAGTTTCTTTGGAGACCATTGGTGAGTGCTTCCCGTTGTGAGGGTTTACGTAGTTGTAGAGATCATCCATCACATCTACAACAGAAAGGTATTTAAAAAGAAGGACGTCCACAGACCTATACATGCATCATCTGTCGTTTGTTTTCAAGGATTTAACAGGCAGGACTATTCATCCTCGAAAATAACCCCCTCCAGATCTACAAACATACAACTTCTCTTCTATCTGCCCAGTATTATTACTAATCTGTTAACCTTAAACATGCACTTCCCTTACCAGGTTTTTTTTATAGAATTTATAACACATAATAAATGGGAAAGAAAGTGGGTGCAACCTAATTTCAATCAGTTACATTTTTCATCAATCTATTTATACAGATACTTCTCACAAAACAGGCAATTTCACTTTCCTCGTGACATGCCTAAAACTCATGTTTTTCATCTCCAAGGCATTTTTAGTTAGCCTAGGTACTTAGTAACTTCTGCTTAAGAAAGAGATTTCCATATTTATATCCTCTAAAACTCCTACTCCCTTTCTGACTAATTGCTATCCAAGTGCCCCCAAAGAGACTTACCACTGAACACTTTCTTAGTTTCTTTGTGCAAATTGGACACTGCAATCCTCGCTGCCAGGATAGCGTAGTCAGGGTGTTTGGTGGTCAGGGTTGCAGCCGTTTCAGCAGCCAGCGTATCCAGTTCCACCGTCGTGACACCACTGTACAGCCCCTGAATCACTTTCATGGTGATCTGGGCCTGAAAAAGGAAAATTCCAGAGGTTACCTACCTATTGTTGGGAAAAAAACCCCCAAACCCGATGTTTGAACCATTCAAGATGTAAGATATGCTTCACTATAAACAGTACTGTTTGCTCTGTTTGAATAGAAAAGCAACTTAAAATACCAAACACTCTTGGTGAAGTACTGACTCCTAAAATTTTAAAGTAATCCTGGGGCAGAAGGGAGAGCAAGGAAAGAGTGAAGAAAGCAGAAACTGTTAATCCAGAATCATTAATAGTCTTTTTTCTGCAGACACTTTCCTAAAGTCTAGGACAGAGCAGCAGCAAAGTTCATAGCGAAAAAAGTCAGATTAAAACAGTACTTGCTTGGAAGTTTTGAAATTCTGAATGAAGCCTGACTTTATAAATGCCTGATGAGACATGGAACTGCTATGCCTAAAATCATTTAATGACGAGCAAAACAACCCCAACCCTGGAGGGGATACAATGGCTTAACCTAATCTTCATCTGCCAGTTGGGACCTTTTGTGGGAACAGACTTCTGCATCTACCATCTCTAAAGTATTTTCTGCTTTTCTCTCAAGCATTTAGCAGTGATCACTATAAAAAAGAGCATATTCTACACTGGTGAAGAGAGGTCTAATCTAACGTGGTAACTGCCAAATACAGCTGAAGTACCAACAGCCTCACAAAACCAGCATGTTATTTTCAAACCTTACTCTCTGAAAGTATGCACATTAGGTTAGGGATTTTTAGTATTGGTTCTTAAAGCCTCTGGCACAAGAAGATCATAGAATTATAGAATGGTTTAGGTTGGAAGGGACCTTAAAGACCATTGAGTTCCAACCTCCCTGACAGGGGCAGGGACCCCTCCCCCCAGCCCAGGTTGCCCAAGGCACCTCCAGCCTGGCCTTCAACACCTCCAGGGATGGGGCCTCAACAACCTCTCGGGGCAACCTGTGCCAGTGCCTCACCACCCTCACAGGGAAAAACTTCTGCCTCATGTTTAATCTAAACCTGCCCTCTTCCAGTTTGAAGCCATTCCCCCTCGTCCTGGCACTCCGTGCCACAGTAAAAAGTCCCTCCCCAGCTCTCCTGTAGGCCCCCTTTAGGGACTGGAAGGCGGCAATAAGATCTCCCCGGAGCCTCCTCTTCTCCAGGCTGAACAGCCCCAACTCTCTCAGCTTCTCATCCAAGATCCAAGTCCAAAGGAGAAACTCAGTTTCAGGATGAGAGATGTCACACACTACTGCAGAACAAATAAAAATGCAGTGCTTCACATAAGAACAGCTTCATGATTAAGACAGGGGTATTAAGAGTCAGGAGGACTAGGAACCTTGCTTCTGTCCTCATCGCCAACTCCCTATGTTACTGAGATCAAGTCAGTGTACTTTGTGTTTCAGTAACCAAGTCAGTAATGCGCATCCTCCTGCTCTCTATCTACGGCTGAAGGGCACCACTTTTTGGTGCAGAATGAACGTCAAATATTTTACACACATAATTTAAGACAAAAAAGGAGACCATTAGATCTTGGAGATGGGAAGAGCCTAAGTTGGCAACTCCAAATGAACAAACTGGGTCTGCACATCTGCATATAAATCTCACAAAGATAAATGGATCCACGAGGGAGTCATCCTCTGCACAGGCTTTGGAAGGAGAAGCTTACACGGGTGGGATCAACATGCACTCAAAGTTATACGCAGCTCGAAAAAACAAAACAGGGATATTATAATGACAAGGTGGTTCTGACAGACAGAAAGATCACCTTGTTTTATTAAGAGAGTATCAAGAGCTACTTTCCATATAGTATTCCTCAAGTTTTGCAGACTGAAATTGAGAGCAATCTACCAAAACAAAAATATGTGAGTTGGAACAACAAACAACTCTTTTTCTTTTAAACACAGGAAGCTCAATTGCTTCGACAACATTTAAGGTAAAACCAATTTACAATAGGTAAACTGATTTTCCCCTACCGCAGTCTCAGACTCTGTATCTGTGAAGGAAAAAAAAAAACAATTCAGAACACAAACAATTAGAAGAAACACATTATGAATGTATTTGCCAAAGAGTTCCTGCCATGCTTGCCTTTTCTTTTGCCAAGGAGAATAACTGGGTAACACCTGCTTAGCACTGCTGGCTTTTAGCAGAGCAGAGAACAGGACAGCAGGAAAAGGGACAGACTCACGGGATCCACAAAGTCAGCGTTGAGGCCATAGCAGAGCTTCTGGATGCGCGACGTGATCTTGTCAAACATGACACGCTCTTGGCGTCCATCTGTTGGAGAAGAGGTTACTGTCACAGCAGCTCCCATTACAACAAAGTAAGCACAGTATCCTCCTACGCAGCACCTCATATGAGCAGCCAGCCCTCTTTTGGGGGAACTTGGGGCAGGGAATCACCAAGGGCAACCTGTTCAGACCCTCTGTTCAGGCCCAAGGAGAAGAGAGGCTATCCCTCCGCCCTGGCAGGTTCTTGCTGCAAATGATCAACACTATACGTGGGATCCCTCACTCAGAGGTGAAGTCTCAGTATAGTGAAAAACACCGGGGAGCTCACACCACTTCACGAGGGGCACAGGCACCCACTATAGGGCGAAGAAACTCCCACCCCACTAGACCTAAAGCTTTGCATAAACCCAGTTCTCAGGACCACCACTGCAGAGACGGGGAACCCAGCTGAGGGCCACCCCAGCCCCCCCGGGACCCCTCCTCTAGCCGAACACTCCTTTGAGCAAAGGTGCGGGGACCAAACCCAAAGCTCACTGCCATGGGGAGGGTGGGGGATCTCCCAAAGCAAACTAATGGGTCTCATCCCTCAGTTATAGTGTTATGGGGGGGCTCCCTCACCCTGGGGTCCCCCCCAAAGCAGATGGGGTGCTATCCCCTCACACAGAGGGCACCCCATCCTTCCATGCTCAGTGCCATGAGGGATCCCCCCAAAACAGAAGGAGGGGGTGTCCCCCATCTGTTCACTTCAGGTGCCATGAGAGGGACCCCCAGAGCCGAGGGGTCCCGTCCCCTCACACCAGGTGCCATGAGAGGGACCCCCCAAAGCAGAAGGGTGCCATCCCCTCACACTCGGTGCCATGAGAGACACTCCTCAGAGCAGAGGGGTCGCGTCCCCTCACACTCGGCGCCATGAGAGACGACCCCCCCAGAGCAGAGGGGTCCCGTCCCCTCACACCAGGTGCCATGAGAAAGACCCCCCAGGCAGAGGGAGTGACCCCATCCCCCCCACACTCGGTACCATGAGAGGGGACCCCCGCAGAGGAGAGGGGCGTCCCCATGCCCTCCCCC